TGGTCTCAGAGTCACCACTGTGCATGAGAATATGAAAGGGGAGGGGCTTTCCCTAGACAGCGCTCTGTGCAGGGGGGGCACTTTGCCAGCTGGGAGGGCTACAATGCAGAGGGGCACTTTGCATGCCAACCAGTGGGACCCACTAAATTCTCCCTCCATTCTCCGGGCTTCCCTGTGCACTGGCCTCCAGCAATGCCCAGAGATGAGGCAAACGACCCAGCCCACAGCTCTCTGCTCTGACAGGCTGTAAGGGGGATGCTACAGGCTCTCCCCCGCACCACTGGCTGGCAGAGCCCGTCTCCCGGCCGTGACCCAGCCTGGCTGAGGGGCAATCCCCAGTCTGCCCCACACTCCGGGCTGTCTCGGAAACGCTGCTCCCTGCTGTGCCCCCGTGCACCTGACTTTCTGTATTGCTGATGAAATGAGGCGCCCACATCCCTCACTGTCGGATTTTACTCCTTTGTTCAATAAACTGGCCCAGAGCTCCCAGGGCCTTTGATTCTTCAGACCCAGGCAGGGGACAGTGCATTTTCAGACCCCACTTGGGACAGCCACTTCTATCACACACACCATCACATGGCCAAAGATGGCAGAGGCTCTGCTAGGACCCGTCTTCTCCCTCAGCTGCTTAAAGCAGAGTGCCTGGCCCTGCGGCATTAAATCCAAATCTAAATGTAACCCCTAGGCCCCATGCTGGCAGCAGAGAGCCAGGTGCAATGTTCTTGGGGTTCCTGATCCCAGCTTGATTCCCTGCCCAGAAACCCGTGACATTTAAATACCCCCCTCCCCAGCATCCTTGATGGGCAATTCTTCCTCCTGCACTGGGAATGAAAACAAGCAGAACTTTATGTAGGGAGGGCAAAGGGGGGAGCAGACAATGGAGTGAGTGTGGGGAAATCAGTACTGACGTTAATACATTCTAGGAGGTCAGAGGGCCCAGCTGTTCCCTGAGAGCTGCCCTGCTCCACAGACAGGGTGAGCCGGGCATGCTCAGTGTCTATTTCCCAGCAAGGCCAATTGCCTGTGGAGATTCCGACTAACGGCGCTTTAACCATCACCACTTGGAACTGCAATTGGCCCCTTTGCTTTCCGACAGGGTCCCCCGACCCGGGAGTCCCTGCCACCCCCCAGTTCCCAGGCAGCCCCAGGCTGCTCGTCTCCCATTCGGGCAGCAGGGGGTGGTAGCGCACACCCTTGGCGCTCAGGCTGCAGCCTATGGCGCTCTGAGCTCCTGGGGAGAGGAAGCCGCAGGATGCAGTTGGATGGCTCCAGGGTAAGCCAAGGATGCTTGGTGGATCTCCAGATTCACTGACACAACGAGGCCCCTGCATTTCCCATTCCCGTGTTGGTGCCCAGCACCCTTACGTGAGCCGGGGTGACCCGCGTGCGGTGCAGGATGGCGGTTCTGTCAAATAACAGCCACCTCATTGCAGGAAAAGTTGGTGTCATGCTGGCCCAGGGACAGTGAAAAACCCAGCACGCTGGGTGACCTGTAAGCAACCCTCGAGGACAGACCAAACCGGTCTCGGCACGGTAAACAGGCATGCCTCATACAGCAAAGCCATGCTAGGGAGACTAGAATTCTTAACCTGCTTGGCCGGCCTGTACGGCTAGAGAATCAAAGGGTAGGAAGGAAATGTGCCCATTTGCCTGCATCCTACTTGTCATGTAACAATGTGACCTTATTAGCTTGTGGAACGTCCTGGCCCCTGGCTGTGCTCTAGTGACTCCAGGAGGGTGGTGTAATAATGGGACTGGCCTCATCTCACCCCTAAACTTGTAACTCCACATAGACACCCACTGGAGGATGATCTTGAGAGTTTAAACAGCTGTTGTCTCAGAAAGAACCCACTGACGTGTATGGGTCACAGACTATCGGCTCGCTTCCATCACAGCCCACGAGGGGGAGATGCTAAAAGCCAAGATTGGGGAAACTTTTTTTTGGGGGGGGGAGTCCACTGACCCATAGAAAAATCAGGTGGGGGTCACACAAAAGTGAGAAGCAAAAAGAAAACCCCACCCTCACGGATGTGACCCCTGACTGAGACACCTCTCTGCCGTCATGCTCCAGCCCCGGAGGGAGGGGGAAGGAGGACCAAGGCGAGGGGCTTCCCAGAGGCCAGATTAACTATTCTGGGGCCTCAGGGCTAGTAGATTTTGTGACATCCCCGCCCCCCGCCTCCCACTGAGGTTCTGGGGAGGGGCCAAAAGTCAGGGGTTCAGTGGGCAGGTGTGAGGATGCAGGAGTGGGCTGGGGGTGGGTGTACGGGTCTGGGAGGGAGGTGGAGTGCAGGATGGGTCTGGGGCTGAGGGTTGGATCTGGCTGGGTGCAGGACTGGGCTGGGGGTGCAGGATCAGGGCAGGAGGGAGGGTGCAGGAGCAGGCTGGAGGTGGGGGGAAGGAGACAAGTGGCAGGCGCAGGGTGGGGGTAGCCGAAGGGGTCTGGCAGGAGGGGGGGGAAGGGCATGGAGGAGGGGACCGAGC